CATAAGTTTCTCGCTATGTTCGACATCAAGCTTAATCTACCATGCAAATTCAAAGGATCTCTTACCTACAGGGTCTGTAGCAACCTTCCCTTCCGTCATGAAAGCTTGTGCAGAATTATGCAATTTTCTTTTCAACAAATAATCGTGAATGTAAACATCAAGCCTGGCAAAAATGGTAACAAAGGAAATCTCAATCAATAATGCAATTGCCTTATGGGCTTTGCTTGGTGTACATAATTTTTTGTACATCAAGGTGTCCCACACTCACATAGATATCCCAAGTAAGTTTATGGATACCTTAATGTGCAAAAAATTATGTACAAGTAGTGTTCTCCTTGCCTTATACATTACATTTATACTCCGACACATACATGATCAAAACTGGAAACTCTGTCCCAGTGTCAGGAACATGTTAGGCAAGCAAAGGAATTCAGCTTCTGACAAAAACTAACCCAACTTCTTTCTTTCTACCTATCAGTTCGACATAAATGGTGCTTAACTAAAGTTAGACATTTATTATTGTCTGTCCATCATTGTATATAATTAATGGCTTCTTTGGGACAGATTTTTTTTTCTAAATCAATTCTTTTCAAAATCATTTTCAAGCATACATCCTATGAGATTAATAACTTCTCCTGATTCTTAACCACATTTTTTTAAACCCCTAATCTAAAACAACCAAATCGATTTTTTTCAATATAAGTTCAACATGAATGAATAGTCATAGCACAAATATGGGGAAAAAATTCTGCTGGACTCCTTAGTTTCTTTTCCTAAAACAAAAGCAAAAGTGAAAAATAATATAGAAACGGAACCGTTCTCCCTACTCATAAATTCGACATGCTTATTTGACAAATAATCGTGATCTTTGATTTAAGTCAATTCAACGCTCAATATCTTGTGGTTCTGGTTATAACAAACTCTCCGTGATCTTATTAAAATATATATTTATTCAACGTTAGATTGAGTTAAATTATTTGTCAAATAACTGAATCAAATTTCTGAGTAGAGGAGCAGTCCCATATAAAAAAATGTCAAACTAAATATAGAAACTAGTCAGACAAATATTTACATCTTATCTGCTTCCCAATTGCTCTGCGCCATGCTATACAACTTCAAAGGCTCACTTCACACAGTTCGAACAATCAGTTAATCGCACTTCCACTGAAAATGAAGTCGTGCCACAAAAAAACGCGAATCGATCAGAACAATCGAGGCACTCAAGGTTTAAAATTCTAAAACCCTAATTTCAAGAAGTATTGATATACAAGGACTTAAATGCAACTGTTATAGAGATCAAGCAATTCATTGATTATATCTTCCCGTCAAAAATCCTAATTCAAAACTAAATTGAAAGCAAAAATCAAATTAGCAAAACTCACAGAAATAAAACAAGATCGTCACTAATAAATTCAGCTCCATTAAAAGATATCAATTCCATACACGTGTTCCTCAAGTCACTTCCGAATGTCCAGTCTAACCTTTAGAGCTTCGAAGATTCAATCCAAGTGCTCGCGTTCTTCAATTTCAATTAACGTCTCTTAATTTAAAGATTTTACAAAACACTCACAACTATTTATGTGTGTGTGTGTGTGTGTGTGAATTACTATAAAGAATCTGTTCAATTTTATTATAATTTGTTCGAAAAAATGAATCGAAAACTTTACTTTAGAAACAAACAAAAAAATTATTCTCTCAGTGAAGAATTTCACAACGGAGAAATTAAAGAGGGAATGAGATGCGAAAGCTAAGAAATAGCTGGCTAAGGGAGCAGGTAGGGATCTGAACCTCAGGTGTGGAAGGAGAATCGAATGCGGGAGCATATATGGTCCCAGCTTTGGACTAAGGCTCGGGAGCGGTGTTTGTGGGGTCTATTAAGGGCCAACTTACAAAAATATCAAAATTAGAAATTTTTGAAAAATCATATAAAAAATTTGAAAGTAAAAAATATTAACATTGAGTATCACTTCTTTATAAAGTGTCACTTTTTAATAGAAAGTTGTATTAAGTGACAAATTTTTATTAAGATTAGTCGTTATCACATGCGTTGAACGAATTCTGTATTTATCGAATTTTTATTAGTGTATGAATTTTAATTTTTTTGAAAAGCTTTTAAAGCAATATCTAAAAATATTTCCATGATATAAGAAAATAATTGTAAATTATTTTTACAATTGTATAGCAGTATGTTATTTAGAAGAAATATACTTATATATTTCATGTTTGAATAAGGAATATACAAACTATTTTACTTGCATTCTTTAATAGTGTTGATATGATTGAATTGAATGTGAAGATTATATTTCTAAATTTTGTGTAATTCAATATTGTAAAATTGAAAAAAAAATCTCCGCACGGGGCGGAGAAAGTTGAACTAAGTGCGGAGTAAAAATAAAAAAATGTACGGAGAGAAAAAAATCTCTCCGCACATTGCGGAGAGAGTTGAACCATGTGCGGAGAGTTGGCAAACTCTTCGCACGGTGCGGAGTTAAAAAAAAACTCTCTGCACAGTGCGGAGAGATGACAAACCAACTCTCCGTACAGTATGGAGAGCAAAAAAAACTCTCTGCACTATGCGAAGAGAGTTAATCTTGTCGCACGGTATGGAAAGTTGGTCCGCATCATGGCAAAACTCTCCGCACTGTGCGTAGAGAGTTGAATCTAGTAAGGAGTAAAAAAAAAAGTCTGCACAGTGCGGAGAGAATAGAACCATGTGTGAAAAGTTGGCAAACTCTTCACACAGTGCGGAGTTAAAAAAAGTCTTCGCACAGTATAGAGAGGAAAAACTCTTCGTACAGTACGGAGAGTTATTTTCAAATTCCTTAATTACAAGTCAAATTTCAAGATTGCAAATTTTTCGTATATACAACAAAACAGTGTCGAAAAATATGGCTCAAAATCAATTATGTCTTCTTTAAATTTCAGTCACAGCTCAATTTCTGAGTATGTAAATCATATTTACGGTATTGGAAATGAGCTTTCTCGTTATTCATACAATGAAACAATATGTGAGTTGTGCAAAGAAGGGGATATTGATAGTATCATGGCTTTGCTTTCATAAATGGAGGCTCTAGGGTACTACCCAAATTCAATATTTTACACTTACTTAATAGCAGTTCTTGGACATTAGAAGCAGAAACAATTTTCAATAAAATTATACTTTCGGATTGTAGGGCAGGAATTAAAGTGTTCAATGCATTGTTCAAAAGTTGTTTGAGAAAAAGCCTCTTAGAACTTGCAGATAAAGTTTCAAGAGTTTTTGTTTTTCTCTTCATACTATGCGGAGAGATAGTTTGTCATCTCTCCACACTTTGTAGAGTCTTTTTCTTATGAGGAGAGATTTTTTTTTTGTCTCATGAAGTTTACATATAATAAAATTATTATTATTTTTATTTTGTTGGCATAATGTCTGTGTGAAAGAATATTTGTCAATCATCATAAATAAAACTCTTTACAAAATGTAAAAAATAAAAATGCATAATAAATATTATTATTATGCTAATAAAATTACAATAATTTTTTTTTTTTTTACAAATAACATAAAAATCATTTTTATCTTAAATAAAAGACACATTTAAAAATTAGCAATTTCGCAACCACTTTTTTTCTTTAATTCTCGAAAATACAATTATAAAAAAGGAAACAATATTGAATTACAACATTTAATACTTAAGAAATTCAATATTAAATAAATTTTATACATTTATAACAAAATATAAATCCATATATGCAACTTACCGTATTTGCATCCTACCGTATTTGCAAACAACTTACCGTATTTGCACATTATCATATATGCAGCATACCGTATTTACAATTTACCGTATTTGCAAACAAATTACCGTATTTTCACCTTACTTTATTTGCAGCTTACCGTATATGCTGCCTACCGTATTTGCAACTTACTGTATATACTACCTACCATATTTGCAGCTTACTATATTTTTATATACCAATTTTTGTACTTACAAATATCAAGAATGCAAAACATCGTACATTCACTTACCAAATCAAATTTCAAAAAACTTTTTGGATTTTTATTTTTTTAACACAAGCATAAAATAAATATTAAATATATATGAAGCACAAAATATAAATGCATATGAACATGGTGCTCAATCTTTAATTTTCCAATATTGAATTACTCAAAATTTAGAAATATAATCTTAACTGGTCCCATCGAAGAAATAACAAACCCTAAAATAGTGATATTAGATCTTTTATACCGACCTCATCTTTATCAAACTTCTTTGTCTTCGTCTTCTTAAAAAAACCAAAAGCTCTGCCCTCTCTCTCTATCCATCCAAGGGATGGAAGGGCAGAGGCCTTTGGTGTCCCACCTAAAATTCTAGGAATTCGTTGAGAGTTAGAATAGATTCGTAGACCGGGTCGACTGATTCGTTTTAAATTTAAAAAATTTCTATAGAGTCTTTTCCTATTCCTTCTATGCCACTTGGATCTGGAACCTAAATGCTGATGCTCACGATTTAGATAGCCATACCAATGATTTGGAGGAGATCTCTCGAAAAGTATTTAGTGCCCATTTCGGTCAACAGATTTGGATTCATACAGATATCCACCCATGTGGTACTTCATTATACGATATATAAAAGATCCATCACTCCAGTCACTAGCCCTGCCTTCGGCATCCCCCTCCTTGCGGTTAAGGTAACGACTTCAGGTAAGTGTTCCGGTCGGTGGAGCGACTCTGGTACGAATTATCAACGTGCTTGGACAAAATGGGGGAGCCCCAATAGATGGCTAAAGTCGGTCGCTTTTTCTCTTTATTTATTATTTATCGTGAATGATGGAATCATTACAAATAGTATGCCCCCGGCCCATCCACGTATTTTTTTGTTTTACGCCCCCGATCAGTGCAATGGGATGTGTCTATTTATCTATCTCTTGACTCGAAATGGAAGCAGGTTTAATCATATCAACACTATCAAATAATACAAGCAAAATAATTTGTATAATCTCGTATATTTTCTATTCAAGTATGAAATATACAAATATATTTTTTCTAAATGACACAATACCGTTATGCAATTGTAAAAATAATTTGCAATTATTTTCTTATATCATGGAAATATTTCTAGATATTACTTCAAAAACTTTCCAAAAAATTAAAATTCATACACTAATAAAAATATGATAAATGCAAAATTCGTGCAACGCACGTGACACTCACTGTGAGAAGAGATTTTTTTTAAACTTCGCATTGTATGGAGAGTTTGCCAACTCTCTGCACTGTGTAAAGTTTTTTTTTTTTTTTTTACTTTTTTTACTCTGCACTGTACAAAGAGTCAACACAGAATGCCATCTTTCCTCACCGTGCGAAGAGATTTTTTTTTACTTCGCACTGTGCGGAGAGCACATTGTTTACCATCTCTTCGCACCATGCGAAGAGTTTTTTCTTCATTTTTTACTCTGTTCATGATTTGTCATCTCTCCACACTGTGCGGAGAGTTTTTTTTTTTAAAAAAACTCATGTGCGAAGAGTTTTTTTTTTTTTTTTGCCCATGGCAATTTATATTTACTAAAATTATTATTATTTTTTTAATGCCAGTGGCATGATTTGTGGAAGAATATTTGTTTGACATAATTATTCTTTTAATGCTAGTGGCATGATGTGTGGAAGAACATTTCTTTAACATAAACAAAATGAAAAATAAAAAATGACATCATGCATAATAAAATTGGATTCATTTACTGTTGCATGAATAGTAGACCCTCATTCTCCTTTTTATTAGAAGTTATAAATGATGTTTATCATTCAAAAAATGGACATAAATTTCTAAAAACAAATTGAAAAAGTGACAAAAACTTAAAAAAAAAGACAGAAAATTCAAAAAATTGACAAACACTCAAAAAAGTGATAAAATTAAAAAGAGTGACAAATACTAAAAAAATAACAAAACACCAATGAAAACTTATGTTTGTCAATAAAAAGGTTACAAAATTTTTTTAAAAGTACCAACAATAAAAAAGTGACAAGCACTATTCAAAAAGTGACAATCGCTTAAAAAGTTACAAAATACTAATCAAAGACTATGTTTGTCACTCAAAAAGTAACAAAAACGTTAAAAGAGTAACAAATAATAAAAAATTTGACAAAAAATCTTAAAAAGTGACGCACTATTCAAAAAGGTGACAAAAACTTGAAAATGTGAATCCAATGATGACTGATTTTCTTCTAAATTTTATCTCTTTATGACTATTTTTCGCTTTTATTAAATAAACATAGAACATAACTTTATTTTTGAAACATAACATCTTAAAAGTTGGAAGTGACAAAGATTTAAAAATGTGACAAAATTTAAAAAAAAAAATGACAACACCAATCAAAACTTTAGATTAAATCCAAGTTTTTTTTTTCCATGTTATTTCTTTGTGATTATGCGTCACTTGTATAAACTAAATATAGAACATAACTTCATTTTAGGAAAATATAGAATTTTGGAGAATCAAAGTGACTTGAACAAAGAAATTAATGTACTTGAACGAAATTTAATCCATCGTCATCCTTGCTTTCAAAGAGTTAGGATGTAGAAACTAGTGCATCAGTATTTCATAAGACGAAAACCAATTCAATACAATTCATATTTGTAGGGTCCCAAATTTTATATTCTTAAGTTGATTGATGTAGTCCATTTATGTAGAACCCCAAATAATTCTAGACACCTTAGCGGCACTAAGATGTGAATATTGGATAACTGAAGTATACTTCAGATTTTTAGTCTCATTTGAGACCCATTTTCGACATAGGAAACATTCGATTT